CGATTCTTCGTTGGATAACGAGTTACGAGAAACAAGTGAAAGAGGTAGCTGGTCGGGTTGATGAGTTTTTACAGAGTCTAGTGAATGAGAAACGTGCGGAGAAAGTAAAGGGTAACACTATGATCGATCACTTGCTTTCTCTCCAAGAAACTGAACCTGATTACTACACTGATGTTATCATCAAAGGAATCGTACTTGTAAGTAACAAGAGATTGAAATAGTAACATTTTTATTAAGGGTTTATTGTATATTTTTTTTATAATAAAGTTTTGGTTTGAATAGGTTATGATAATTGCTGGCACTGATACATCAGGGGGAACATTAGAATGGGCTATGGCCAACTTGCTGAACCATCCAGAAGTATTACAAAAGGCAATGACCGAGATTGACCAGCAAGTTGGTTCACACAGGTTTATAGAGGAACAAGACATTGTGAAACTTCCTTATCTACAGAACATTATGTTAGAGACTCTACGGCTTTACCCTGTTGTTCCAATGCTTCTCCCTCACATGGCATCAGAAGAGTGCACGGTAGCAGGGTATGACGTCCCTCGTGGTACGATGGTTTTGGTGAACGCATGGGCCTTTCATAGAGACCCAAAAATGTGGGAAGAGCCGGAGAAGTTCAAGCCAGAAAGGTTTGAGGAAGAAGGTGAGGATAAAAAGATGTTGCCTTTTGGGATGGGACGACGAGCTTGTCCTGGTTCAGGGCTAGCTCAGCGGCTTGTGACTTTGGCTCTGGGTTCGTTGGTCCAGTGCTTTGAGTGGGAGAGAACGGGAGAAGAATACGTGGACATGAATGAAGCTGAGAAAGGAATCATAATGCGTAAAGCCACACCATTGAAAGCTATGTGTAGAGCTCGTCCCATTGTCCATAAGATTTTAGATGCTTCTAGTCCATAAATTTCATTTACAAAACCTTGTTGTTTCTTATAGTTTATATATGGCCTTGTATATTTTGTTGAGTTGAAGTCTGATTCATTAAAGCATCTAAAATTAACATAAGTTTAGTAGTTTTGTAATCAAGTCTTTTAGGAATCGCTTGCATTGAAGCAGCAGACAAGAAGACAACAAGTCAAATCTCAAGCAAGATACGTAGATCTCTTGGGGCTTTGGAGTTTTAGTTACTGTCGGAATCGTTTGCAGAGTCTACAAGCATGGTCTGAGGGTTCTTGTAATCACTAATCTCATCCTTATATCGCTTCTTGTCAACTTGCGCCTTAGCTTCATACGGCTCTATTTCCTCAGCTATGGTTGCACCGACTGCGCAGGACTCCCTTATCCGTTTTCTTGGTCCGAGGGCTCCATTTCGTGCGACATATGGTGCGTTAGTTTTTCGGAGGATCATTAGTCTTTATTTACTGCTTCTTCAATCATCACATAAACTTTTTTCGTATTTTGGCCTCACTCACAGAGTATCGTAAATCACTTCCTGACAGATCATTCATCATTCCATTACTCCAACTCAAACACGTTTAACTCTGGAGTTCTAAAATGTTGTGTCGGAACAGATAAGTACACTTTGGTGACATAGATAGCCAAATAAATTCTCATAAGCCTTTTCACATATATCAGAATTGAGGATGATACAATTCACCCTCACTCAAAGAACGCAAAATTGCGCACTATGACAGGTCTCAAGACGCCTCTCGAGTCAGAATAGAGATGGGTAAGCAGCTATGATACCACTTGTAACACCCCGACCGCTCACTGTTAATGGACCTCATACGTCCAGTCTCTCAGCCCGTGGATCCCATCCCGTGCGATGGGTGGTTCGTTAATTTTCATACGCTCATTAGTCTTTGTTTAATGTCGCTACAATCACCACATGATCTTTTTCGTGTTTTAGCTTCACTTGCACGGTATTGCAAATCACTTCTCAACATATCATCTATCATTTCACTACTCCAGCTCAATTACGCTTAATTCTGGAGTTCTAAACGGATGTATACCGGAAAAAAAATAAACGCAGTTTGGTGACATAGGTAACCAAATCAAATCTCAAATCTTTCCACATATAGTAAAAATCAGGACGTTACAATAGTTTACATATAAACACACACACAGACAATAAAGATCAAATCACATATACTTTTAAGCTTAAGACCAATAAGGGTGGTAGTGTTTAAGGGACGATCTCAGGTTTTTACCAGACATCTGACGCCATTTATCTCCAAGCACCTTTCCTATCTCCCCAAATCATATTCCTGGGTGAGTCTTCTGTATGTTCTGTTCAGTGAAAATGATACTATAATCAGACATTGCCGAGAGTGAAATGTAGCACAAAAGAGAGAAGGAAAGAACTCACATCTCTTTCCATTTGGGAGAAATACATGAAATCAGACATTGCCTTTTAGGTGCATTGGGATCCTTCTTCTTCTTCTTCTGCGTCTTCTTCTTACTACTGCCTTTTTCTGTGGCTAACGCTATCTTCTATAGAGGCAATCCTTTTGAAGAAAAAACCTCTTTCTTCTGTTCCTTCTTAACAGATTTCTGAAACAAGTTAAGGGAAAGAATAAAATACGATAGGCTTGCGGGTAGCTCGGACAGGTAGTTCGGAATTCAGGTATTCCGATTCGACTAAAATCTTGCTGAATGGAACTAGAAAAAGGTTTGGTTCAGTATTCAGGTAGTCTGGTTTTTTAAAGTTTTACCGATATTAAACGAAGTTTTTCGTTTCAATTAATATTTTGGTGAAAGATTTAGTTAAATTTGGTTCAGTAATTTCAATTGATTTGGAGGTAGTTTCAGCCTAACCCTTTTACCATTTGGACCAAAACTGACTATTTCCCGATCCTTCGGTGGATAACGGATTATGAGAAACGGGTCAAGAAGTTAGGCGGTAGGGTTGATGAGGTTTTGCAAAGTCTGGTGGATGTGAAACGTGCAGAGAAAAAAAAAAGGTAACACCATGATAGATCGCTTGCTTCGATCTCTTCAAGAAACTCAGCCTGAGTACTATACCGATGTTGTCATCAAAGGAATCATGGTAGTAAGTGACGAGATATCAAAAATAATAACAGTTATCTAAGTTTTATTTTTGTTATTTAAGTGATTTCAGTTTTGTATAGGTTATGATACTTGCCGGGACTGATACATAAGCAGCAACGTTAGACTATGTCCAATTTGTTAAACCATCCAGAATTATTAAAAAAGGTAAAAACCGAAATCGACAAGAAAATTGGTTTAGACCGGTTAGTAGAGGAACAAGACATTGTGAAACTTCCTTTATCTCCAGAGACCAGAGCATAGTGTCCGATACTTAACAACTTTTTCCTGTGGTTCCAATGCTTCTCCCCCATATGGCGTGGCGTCAGAAGCTTGCATGTTGGCATGCTATGATGTCCCACGTGACACAATGTTATTAGTGAACGTATGGGCCATACATAGAGACCCAAAAATGTGGGAGAGCCGGAGAATTTCAAGCCAGAGAGGTTTGAGAAAGAAGGTGAGGATAAAAAGTTGATGACATTTGGGTTCGGACGACGAGCTTGTCCTGGATTAGACCTAGCTCAGCGGCTAGTAACGTTGGGTCATTTTTTGTGACTACAGAAACGTTGGGTCTTGGTTCGTTCGTCCAATGTTTTGAGTGGGAAGGAGCCGGAGAAATATGTGGACATGAGGGAAACTGAAAAGCGAATCACCATGCGCAGAGCTACGTCCTTAGAAGCTATGTGTAGAGCTCGTCCCATTGTTAGTAAGATTGTATATGCTTCTTCTTGTACATAAACTCCATCTTCAGAATCTTGTTACATTATCCGTGTCATTGTCTGAAGGCTCGTACGGACGAGACTCAACCTCAGTAGATTTTGTCTAAAGGTTTTCAAAATGTTTGGTAGATGTCAAATGTTATAAGAAAAAAGCAATACGTTGTGACACATGCAATGACGTCAAACACATCACATGATAATTCGCACGTTTCATGTGCATATGCTACAACCACATCACATATCAGCGTCTCCCGTCTCTTACTCCCATGTTGATCGAGACAAGCAAATATATAGTAGGCAATGTCGTAACAACCAAAACTCTTATCCTCTTCTTTTTACTTTCGGTGCACGATTAAAGATAATTATGAATTATCCTCTTTAATGCAACTAGTTGATGTAAACTAATACATTTTATCACTCGCCAGCACACTATAAAACCAGATTAAGCACTTGTGTTTTGTAATAAACTCAAGATACAAATATAGAAAGCTAATCAGTAATGGAAACTTTCTACTTGCTTCTGTCTCTCCTCTTCTTCCTCACTCTGAAGCTCTTGCTTGGAACACGACCACGCAAACTAAACCTACCGCCGAGTCCAACCCGACCATTTCCGGTTATCGGACACCTCCACCTCCTAAAGCTCCCGCTACAACGGACTTTTCTCTCTCTCTCCAAGTCACTAGGCGGTGCCTCGATCTTCTCACTCCGCCTAGGCACACGTCTCGTTTACGTTGTCTCTTCTCACTCTGTCGCCGAGGAATGTTTCACCAAGAACGACATCGTTTTAGCTAACCGGCCGAAGTTTATCGTCGGGAAGTATATCGGATACAACTCCACTACCATGGTCAGTGCGGCTTATGGTGAAAGTTGGCGGAACCTCCGTCGTATTGGCACCACTGAGATCTTCTCGTCTCTTAGACTCAATAGCTTCTTATCCATCCGTAAAGACGAGATCCGACGGCTGATATTCTCTCTATCAAAAAACTCTCGACAAGTATGTGTTACTGCCATTTAATCTTAACTTAAGGTTTAAAAATATAAAAGATTTACATTACTTTTTTCATAATATACGTGCTGCAAAGTAATTAAAGAAAAAACAAATAGACATTTTGTATATTATCGATTACACTAATAGAGTATAACCAAGCTCGAACATAATACTTTCCCCCATATTATTTTCATTAAAATTTTAAATAATTAAAGTAAGAATTGCCGAGTAATTTAGTTAAATATACCAATGATATTTTCAAAAACTATTAAATCATTTGAATATAACATTTTGTTATTCAGGAATATGCGAAGGTGGAGATGAGACCATTGTTTATGAATTTGACTATCAACAACATCCTTAGGATGGTGGCCGGAAAGAGATTTTACGGCGACGGAACAGAGGACGACGATGAGGCAAGACACGTGAGGCAGTTGATAACAGAGGTGGCTGTCAGAGGAGGCGCTGGAAACGTAGCAAACTACATCCCGATCCTCCGTTGGTTAACGAGTTACGAGAAGCAAGTGAAAGAGCTAGCGGGTCGGGTTGACGGGTTTTTACAGAATCTAGTGAACGAGAAACGTGCGGAGAAAGTAAAGGGTAACACTATGATCGATCACTTGCTTTCTCTCCAAGAAACTCAGCCTGATTACTACACAGATGTTATCATTAAAGGAATTATACTTGTAAGTAACAAGAGATTGAAATAGTAACGTTTTTATTAAGGGTTTATTGTATTTATTTTTATAATAAAGTTCTGGTTTGAATAGGTTATGATAATTGCTGGGACTGATACATCAGGAGGAACGTTAGAATGGGCTATGGCCAATTTGTTGAACCATCCAGAAGTATTAAAAAAAGCAAGGACCGAGATTGACGAGGTAATCGGTTCAGACAGGTTGATAGAAGAACAAGACATTGTGAAACTTCCTTATATACAGAACATTATGTCAGAGACATTAAGGCTTTATCCTGTGGTTCCGATGCTTCTCCCCCACCTGGCGTCAGAAGATTGCATGGTGGCAGGGTATGACGTCCCTCGTGGCACGATGGTATTGGTGAACGCATGGGCCATTCATAGAGACCCAAAAATGTGGGAAGAGCCGGAGAAGTTCAAGCCGGAGAGGTTTGAGAAAGAAGGCGAGGAAAAAAAGATGTTGCCTTTTGGGATGGGACGACGAGCTTGTCCTGGATCAGGGCTAGCTCAGCGGCTAGTGACTTTGGCTCTCGGTTCGTTGGTTCAATGTTTCGAGTGGGAGAGAGCTGGAGAAGAATATGTGGACATGACAGAAGCTGAGAAAGGAACTACCATGGGCAAGGCCACACCGTTGACAGCTATGTGTAGAGCTCGTCCCATTGTCCAAAAGGTTTTAGATGCTTCTTGTTCATAAGCGTATCTTCCAAATATTGTTATATTTTATAACATCTTGCAACGGATTTGCAGCTTCTTATAGTTCATATAGACTTGTATATTTCCTATTGGTGACATATAGTATTGTAGCATGATTTATAATTTGATGTAACTTACAGTAAAAATATATATGGTAGAAACTGAGCTTTATGTGCTAAGTTTGTATAAAATAAAATTAATTATTTCATTAAAATTTATGACTGGCCATTTTTATGTATAAATTGTAGTTATGCTTTTAATAAAAGATTTAAATATATAAATAGTGAAAGATTTATCAAAAACACATAAACAGTAAGCTATTGTTTATAAAAAAATTAAATTAGTATATAATTTTCTAAATATTACAATCACTAATCATTCTATTTATTCTAATATCAATAATAGAATAAATTAAATGAAATAGTAGTAATAGCATGAATTTTAAATTAAAGAATCCAATAATAGCAAAAATAATAAATGTAGATATCACAAATCTTTATGCATATTGAATTTCATGCACAACTCAAAGACAAAGGACAATAACATAATTATCAGTAACTATAAGTAATATGGATTTTAAAATATCTATACTATTATTTGAGAAGTGATTTTTCGCAACGGAGCTCTCACGTTAAAAGTTGGAGTGCTTAATATCGATTATACCCTTAGTGAATAAAATATAGAAATTAGCCAAAATTAAAAACGAATTTAATACTTATTTGATTAGATAAATGATTTAAATTAATAATGATAAGAATTATCCATAATCTAAATAATATTTAAAAGAAAAAGATAATTCTTATATATACTGTGTTGTTATCCGGAAAATATATTTAATTAAAAAAAAATAAAAAAAAACACATAAATAAGTATTCATAAAATAAAATTTTTAATTTTTATATAATTTAAAAGAAAAAATTGAAAAAAGATATAATACGAAATTATTATTTGCGAAGGGATTTTTCGAAACGGAGCACTCACGTTAAAAGTTGGAGTGGTTAATATCGATTATACCCTTAATGAATAAATATATATAAACTAGCCAAAAATAAAAATGAATTTAATACTTATTTGATTAGATAAATGATTTAAATTATAATAATGATAAGAATTATCCATAATCTAAATATATGTTTAAAAGAAAAATATAATTCTTATATATATTGTGTTGTTATCCGAAAAATATATTTAATTAAAAAAATTCAAAAAAACACATAAATAAGTATTCATAAAATAAAATTTTTAATTCTATATAATTCAAAAGAGAAATTTGAAAAAAATATAATACGAAATTATTTATTAAAAGAATATAATAATATAACGATATATGTATATATTTGTGAAGTTATTTTTCTAAACTCACACGTTAAATTAAAATTAAATTTATATTTTATATAGTTAAACCTTAAACATGAATTAATCATATAAAATAAAAGATCATCAAAAAGAAAGAAAATACGTGTTTGATAAAAATAAATTCAAATATATTGTATTATTATCTAAACTAATATTATTCTTTTTGTACGATTAATTTTTGAATGTATATTTATCGATTCAATTTTTCAAATGGAAAAATAGATTTCTATATTTTTTTATCAATTAAGAAGAAATGAAATAGACTTTAGATTTTTCAAAGTTTTAAAGGAAAAAAAATAGTTTTTTTAAACTTGTGAATAACTTTATCATATAGAAATTTTTAATGTTTTCGGTCAAATTTTTTGGATGCAAATAATTATTTATTATGATGATTTTTAAATTGATTAAAAGATAATTAAGCCCATATGTGCGAGCAAAACACCTAGTACACTATTATACCTTTCGCAAAATTGTGAAATACACGTAAGCTTTGAAATACATTTCACTTTATTTTTTACAGAATCAAATAAATTTGTAACTCAACTTCTAAAACATATCTAGAACTTAGGTTGGTGTTTGTTTATATTTCGAATTAACAATTTTATGAGACTCAAAGTTGTAACTCAAATTTAAAATAAAAAAAAATTAGATTTATAATGCATCATTGATAACATTTTGAGTGAATTGGGTAGAAATCCATAAGAAAATGAGAAATTAAGAATTTGTCATTTTTGGTGGAGAAAATAGTAATGTGTGAGGGAGGAGAGATAAAAGAAGAAATAGGGTATGGAGTGAATTATGAGGTTTAGTGTGTGTATGGAGTTCAAATACTCCTAACATTTTTGAGTTAACAATAATTTATACTCCTAATTCAAAGTAAATCACACCACATGTCAACAATCAGAGCCTTTGTTATGAGTTGAAGTTTGATTCACTGAACGCATCTAAAGTTCAACATAAGTTCAGTAGCTCGTACTACACTGAAAACACACACGAGTTAAAGATAAATAACACACAAGAAAATAGATAGCATGTCGAACCTCAAAAACTCGGAGTTTTAGTTACTGTCGGAATCGTTTCCAGAGTCAACAAGCATGGGCTGAGGGTTCTTGTAATCACTAATCTCATCCTTGTATCGCTTCTTGTCAACTTGCGCCTTAGCTTCATACGGCTCTTTTTCCTCAGCTATGGTTTACATAAAACACACACAAAGAGGATGAAGATCAACATCACACACACTTTCTAAGCTTAAGACCAATAAATGTCGCAGTGTCTAAGAGAACATCTCAGGGTTTTTTACCAGACATCTGACGCCACTTATCTCCAAGCACCTTTCCTATCTCTCCGAATCCTATTCCTGGGTTAGTCTTCTTTATGTTCTGTTCAGTTCAAACAGAAAAATGATTATACAATCTTGTTCGGATAAGTAAAATGTAAACAAACAAAGGAGAGAAGAGAAAACTCACATCTCTCTCCATTTGGGAGAAGTACATGAAACCAGACATTGCCTTTTTAGGAGCATTGGGATCCTTCTTCTTCTTCTGCGTCTTCTTCTTACTACTACCTTCTTCTGTAGCCAACGCTTTCTTCTTTAGAGGCAATCCTTTGGAAGACGAAGCCTCTTTCTTGGGCTCCTTCTTAACAGATTTCTGAAAAGAATTAAATAAGATATGGTTTCACTTGGTGAAAGAGTTTTGATTGAGGAAATATGAAACAGTTTTTTTATTACCTCTTTCTCGCCTCCGTCAATGTCACTAGCATCAGAGTCGTCCTCGCCAGAATCATCAGTCGGTGAGCCACCGTCGTCATCCTCAGCCCCAACAAAGTCTTCGTCCTTCATGAATTGAAAAGTATCAACCATCAAAAACAGAATCATCAGAACATGAGATCATTTATTCGGTCAGAGAGAAAACACTTGCCTCCTCATCACTCTCATCAGCAGCTTGGTTTCTAATACGTTCAAGATGAGGATCAACAGCGTCATCATCATCATTATCCTGAAGAACAGCAGCAACACCTTCTGCTGTACCGGCACCTCCAAGGTTCATAATCTTCAAACCCTTAGAGCTGCAGCGAAAGAAAGATGATATTTTGCTCACTAACAGTTCTATCCACTCTCAGAAACTTGAGATACCGCGTGCTAACCTTATGAAGGAATAGAGATTGTGATACTCATTCCTCTGAATATTCCTGAACAGATGTTCATGATCAGTTTTCAATCTTATGGAAAGATCGAAGTAATGCATGTTAGCACCACCGGCAGCATGTCTTTCAAACTCCACATAATCAATCTAAAAAAATGAAAAAACAAACCAATTATATCTCAAAGCCTAACAAAATTTCCCAATTATTAATAACCATAAGATACCTCATCATGAAGGATAAGTGTTGGAGGTTTAGGTAAGAAGAAGAAGCCCTTCTCGAGTGGATAAAGAACACCGTCTTCTGCCTTGAGAGATGATTTCACTGCAAACCCGTCTTGGGAACTGCGGAACTTCCCTGGTTTAGTGATCTTTGCACCAGACAGCCAACGTAATACAGTGGTGAACACTTCATGAATGAGACCCTGAAAATTTATAGCCAATATCCTTAGCTCTCGGTTATGGCGACAATTTTCTATTATTAAGGAAATATAAAAAAAAAGCGCAGAATCAGAGAGAGACCTTATATGATCGCTCCAACTTGTCCTTGAACCTTGTATTCATAAGATCATCACTAATTGAAAGTTCACTTTCCACGACAGAGTCGGTCTCAAACTAGAGAAGGTGGAAAAGAAAAACATATAAAAACCAGAGTGCAAACGATAAAGAAAAGAAAAATTATATGAAAGGGAAAATAGAAGTAATGTTTACCTGCATCACAATATGAGGGTATAGGGTCTGACCTTTCCGGATTGGTGGGTCTAGAGAGATAACAACAAACGTATGTGGCTGGTTTGACTGCTCAGGCATAAAACAGATAACAAGAGTTCCATTAATGGGTACAAGAATCAGTAAAAACAAGTAAAAGTCCCTTAGATACGATTGAAAAGAATCACCTTTGGAAGCAGAAACAAGCGGACAACACTACTGTATTGAATTTTAAAGTCATTGGCTTGTCCTTGCAAACGTAAGAAAGAAAGGTGAAGCTCCACATTGTACCGACCCCTGTGAAAGAAAAAAAATAATGTATTCATGAGAAAATGCAGTCAGAGAGTGATCAACTAATACTCTCTATAAGATGAAGGAAAAATCTTTACCTGGGCGTGAGGATTGCAATACCCTCAAAAGTGACGACAGCCTCCTCAACTCCAGCACCAACATCAGCCACTTTCAAGATATTGTCATGGAAAACCTGAGACATACACTTGCAATCAACATAAAAAAAAAAATACTCCAGACACACTGATATAATTAAAAGAAAACTTCATCAACTTACTTGAGCAGGAGGACGAGTTTCATCACCAACAAACTGTGTGTTAGTATTAGGAATATGAAAACTTATCTCCATCAACGAGTCTTTCTGTAAACACACAATAAACAGAATCAGCAACTTTACATATTAACCCAAAGACAAAATTGAAGTACCTCATTGGCACCAGCAGTATCATCAACATGAAACTCCAACAAAACATCATTTTTCCCTTGAAGCTGAGTCTGTGAAACATCAGCCAAAGACACTTCAAAAGCTTGCTTCCCACCAACCAAAAACGTCAGATTATTCCCTTCACACACAAAAAAAGACATAAAAAACCTAAAACCTTTTTCCACATAAGTAACTAACTTCAGAAGGTAATAAAAAAAACACACACACCATTCAAATCAACTTCTCCCCAATTCCGACCACTAACAGAAAGCTGTTTCTCTTCAGGTGTTTTCCCAAAAGCACTTTGGAAAAAACTGGTCAAACTCAAAACATCCTATCCACAAAACAAAACAAAACAAACATAAGCTTCAATCAATCAAAAGACAAAAAGGAATAATAATCTCTAACGAAAACACAAACATGAAACATAAGCTTCAAATCAAATAAAAAAGAAATAATCTCTAACAAAACACAAACCTGAAACATAAACTTCATTAAAAAGACAAAAAGGAATAATAATCTGTAACAAAAAAAAAACACAAACCTGGTCACGAAAGCCAATGAACTTATAATACAACCCATCTTTGGTTTTGACACCAAGCTGGTTAGTCCTTGGAACCTTCATCCAGGTGAGACCTACAACATCGGATTTGTCTACTTCCACAGCTTTGCCACCGCCTTGCTTCTTCCATTGGATCCCTCCTGAGTTGATTTTAAGGAGGCCTGGGCTCTGCAGAATTATTAAATTAGGGTTTCGTAATTAAATTAAGGTTTTCGAAGGAAATATAGTGAGAGAGAGTGGGGAGGGGAAAGTACCGATCCGCCGCGGCCGCTGAGAGAGATGTTGTTGAAGGAGTGAAGGTCCGTCATGGCTTCAGGTGTGAGACGAGCGAAGGAGGAAGAGACTGTGTTTTCTTTTATTAAGAAGACACAGTAGTGATGGAGTACGCATTTTAAGTATTTTGTAAATAAAAATATATACGTGGTGTTTCAGAAAAAAAAAACTACTAAAATTAAATTAAATCCGATTCTAATTTTTTTTGTTCTTTTTGTTTTAACACTCACTAATTATGCATTACAAATTATGAGAAATATTAGATAGATGATATTATAGCCGACAATTCTACCTGCCTTATGCGGATTTACGTCTGACTGCATCATCCTGAGCCATCCTATGAGATCAATTCCTAACGATACGCGGACTAGGTTGCACGGAAGCTTCGTCGGACGACCGCTTCCCGCTTCGGAACCGGAATCGGAATCGGAACCTTGTGGAAGCTTACGAAATCTCGCTTCCAAAACGCTTCTAAAATAACTTAATTAAAAACACGTTGGAAGCTTACGATTCCAATTTGGAATCACGCTTCCGTTTTGAAAAGCACGATGTTGTAAACTAATTTAAAATAAAATATCATATTTAATGAAAATCTAAAATTTTATAATATTGAAATGAAATAAAATAAAAATATGCAAATACTAAAACTCATACTATTAAATATCACATTATGTTTTTATTAGAGATAACATATTTATTCAAATAGATTATATCAGTTATTTATAAAAAATTAAAATAATTAATTGGATAACAAATTTATAAAATTAATTGTTTATATTCTCACAATTACAATATGAAATAATTTTAAATTATTAAAAATGAAAAATTCTTTATTTTAATTAGAATCATATAATTTTAGCTATAAATTTTATTAAATGTTTTTATGTACATATATATGTATATTTATTTATATTAATAATTTGATGTACGCTTCCAATCCGCTTCCACTTCCTAATTTTTTTTAAAAACCCATTTCTGCGTTTCCATACGGTTCCGCTTCCACGCATCCGCTTCCGTTTCCATGTAACATAGCCCCCATGCTAAAGATCTCTTGTAAGCTTTTTTTCAATCTGCATAATTCGCCATTAACGAGAGTTGATTCTGAGGAGGTAGTATAGTTTACTTTCGGTAATTAGTATTCACTCAGTTTCAATTTATTTATAATTTTATATGTTACTAGGGATTAATCCGCTCTATGCACAGACCTGTTTAATTTTCAAATGTTAACTATTTATTTTTTGAAACACAACTTTCATTAATTCATAAACTCAAAGATAGGTGTTGATAGATGTTGTATATTTATCAGCCTTGCATTATTATTTATTTCAGAATACAAAATGAATTCACATATTTACTTACTATTTCTTTTACTATACATTTTTAAGATATATTTTTAATGTAGTTTTCTATTTTTATATTGTATACTTAATTATTTTTTATTTTTTCTTATTGTATATTTACTTATTCTAATATTGCGATAGATGTTTAATACTGATTATTTATTTTACCATAATTTTTTAAAATAGGTGTTTAATTTTAATTTTTACATTTATTATTTTATACTTACTTATTTTTTGTATATTGTATAATTACTTACTCTGTTTTCTTGTTTTAAAATCAAATAATAATACTGCGACAAATGTTTAATGTAATATTTCTATTTATTATATTGTATATTTTATTATTTATTTTATCTTATCTTATATTGTATATTTACTTATGCAAATATTTTGAAATAATAAAAATGTAAAACTCTACATTTTCAGATAGATATTTAATCTAGTTTTCCATTTCTTATACTGTACATTTACTTATTCAAATTTTTACGTTCTGCTTCGCATATTGTATATTTTACTTATTATTTATTTTACTTACATTTTTCATATAGATGTTTAATGTAGTTCTTCATATTTAGTTATTGTTTATTTTTTTCTTATATTGTATATTTACATACATTATGCTAGATGTTTAGGATGTCAAAAAAAAAGATGATGTTAATGTAATATTTCTATTTCTTATATTTTATATTTACTTACTATTTATTCTATATTTTATACTTACCTATTCTAATATTACAATATATCTTTAATATAAGATTTCTATTTTTTGTATTGCATATTTTTCTTATTATTTTATTTTATATTGTTTATTTACTTATACAAATATTTGAAATAATAAAAGTTTAAAGATTTAATTTTTTCAGATAGCTAGCTATTGTAATTTTTATTTTCATTTTTATATTGTATATTTACTTATTCTAATTTCTTACTTTTATATCAAATGGTAATACTACGATATATGTTTAATGTAATATTTATATTTATTATATTGTATATTAATATATTATATATTTACCAATTCTAATAATACAATATATATTTCATATAATTTTTCTATTTTATAGTGTATATACCTATTATTTATTTTACTGTATATTTTATCACATAAATTTTTAATTTGGTTTTGTATTTCCTATATTTTATATTTACTTTTTATTTTATTTTTTCTTATATTGTATATTTATTTATTTTAATATGTTTTATATTTAAATTAAATGATAATGTTATGCTAGCTGTTTAATTTAATATTTATATTTTTTATATTGTATATTTACCAATTTTATATTGCATATATACTTCTTACTTATTTTATTATACATTTTCCAAATAGATTTTTAATGTTATATTTCTTTTTTTATATTGTATATTTACTAATTTTATATTTGTTTTCATATTGTATATTTAATTATTTTTATGACAATATAACGAAATATGTTTAATGTAATATTTTATTTCTTATATTTTATGTTACCTATTTTTATATTTTATATTTACTTATTAATTATTTTATTATACATTATCCAGAAAGATTTTTAAAGCGATATTTCTATATCTTTTATATTTACTATTTTTATTTTTTCTTATATTTTTTATTTTTCAGATAAATGTTTAATGTAATAGTACTATTTTTAGATTGTATACTTACTAAGTTTTATATTTATTATATTGTATAATATTATCATAGATGTTTATTGTAATATTTATATTTCTTATATTGTATATTTACATATATTTATATTGCATATTTGCTTATTTTTTATTCTACATTTTCGAGATAGATATTTAATTTAATATTTTTATATTATATTGTATATTAACTAATTATTTATTTTCCTTATATTGTTTTTTATTATTTTTGCTTTTATTTTTTGTTTTTCGAAGAGAGATTCTACAATGATGTACAATTTTCTTAGAATCTCAATTAGCCCATATTAATAGCAGTACCGTCAAACATCAATATATGTAACTCAAGGTTGTTGAAATAGAAAAAAATACATTAATCATTAAAGATCTATATTAAAATGTATAACATAAATATTAAGTAAACTAAAATATAAGAGATGGAAATACACAATATAAAGAAAAATAAATAATAAGTAAATATATAATTTAAAAATGCAAATAGTACATTAAAATTAAATATACATATAAATATGTAAATATAGATATTAAGTAAATATATAATATACTAAAATAATAATAATAATAATAATTATTATTATTATTATTATAATAATAATAATTATTATTATTATAATAATAATAATAGATCTTTATAAAATATAAATCTGGATTTTAGGATATTGTCAAAAGTACAATTCGACGATTTGTAAGTCTTTATAAAGAAGTTTTTAAACAATAGTTCAACTAATTTTAGGATTTGCTTCCTTTTGTTATCCAAAAAGCAAATACAACACATGAAACAACATGCATCGACTTAGTACTGCCTTAGCCAACAAAAAATTGTCATTTTCCTGTACATTTTCTCCGCCGGCTGGATCCCCGTACACCTAGATCTGCAAACTATTAAACCGCTATTCTGATGTGAGTGGCCATTACTCACGGCAGGATGGATTTGAAGCTGATAGGATCGACTACTACGAAAAAATGAACAGATTTACCTTGATGCCTTCGTTTTTTATGGAATCGGTTGCTTTTCAACAGTTCCTATTCCTAACAAGACCGCTCTATTCTAATGTTTAGAACCTGACCACTTTCCCATGGAAGCATATTCATGAAGATGGAAAGAAACCATGGCCCTATAACCCAAGCCACTTGCACTCCAAGATAATCCAGATGATGAACTGTAGACATAAAAGTTCAGAGCATTAGTACAAACTGTGAACACTTTGTAAGATGAATCAAGATATCTGTGAAAAACTAACCCAATTTCGGAAATCTTTCTCGAACCAACTCCTCCAGAACTAGTTGATCAACCTGCAGAACGAATACAAAATACAGTAACTTTAATTAACAGGAGTTTGGTGGACCTAATGGTACGTGTTGTCATGATGCTATAACCAGTGTGTCCCAAAATTTGTGCAAATGTATAAAACAACTCATATGGTCACCTGGGACTCAATCATATCTTCTGAATAATAACCATTGAAGTATTCATCAATTATTCCTGTCAATGCCCTACAAATCACAAGTATTTATTTAGAAGAGAAATCTGTTTAGAAAAAAAAAGGATATAACAACGCCTAACCACAGTTAATACAAACAGAATAAAATGGAAGTGATAGGTATAAAAACTAAGCACAAAGCCGAGGAGTACTTTTATTCACAAAAACAAGACTACAAATGAAATTAGAAATTGATTAAGAACCATTGACTTAGGGGGAAAAGAATCTAATGAATGGCCTAAGAAAATTTAATGTTCAACCGAAAGAAGTGAAAGTGATAGATACACAACCTATACACAGAGCCAAGAAGTTCAATATTCACAGAAAAACAATATTAGGAATTAAAGATGATAGAATAATCAACTTTGTGAACATACCAAAAGGCATTCTCTTCGGGCATCAACAGCAATAAAAGCGCAGCAAAGAAATTCATAGCCTGCAGGATATGAACTAGATATTAATCTTAATTTACCATTTCCGGTACTAAAGTAAAGAATCATGATATTGGTTAAGAACCAATACCTGGCAGTATCCAACAAAAGGATTATGCCTAGCATAAGCAGTAAGCAAACACCGCAGAGCATTTCTACCATCATCATCTAGTGCGGGATGGCCTGGTGTCCGAGGCAAGTCTTGTAGTTGAGATAAGCAACGGCGTAAGAAATATAATCAACTTCAAAGCTAAGACTGCACAAGTAGGTAGAGGGAGTCAACTCTCGGAAAATTATACGGTACTACCTTTTCTATCTGTCCTTTCCATTTTTCTACAACAGCAAGGGACTCTGTATTTGAACCTTTCTCATCAACATGCTGCGTATCCTCCTGAGCTATGCTGTTCCTAGAACTATCTTCAGCAAGAAGGTTTTACTAATAATCTTTGCTACGTTTCTTCACACCCACAAATGCTTGCCACAGCTGAAAATATGTAAAGTTCTCGATTGAACAAGAGCTTAGGCCAACGAACTACAGATAGAGCCAGAGTATGACAAAAAATAGAATTAGAAGGCAGCCATGTAGATATGACAAGATTTATTACCTCCCCCTCAGAGCCATGGGTACACCACCTCGGATAGGCACTTCAAGTTCTTCCTTCCAGGGCCAAGTAGACACTGCGAAAGAAGTTACATCACCAGTAACAGGTATGCCAGAGACACTAGTACCATCTGAAGACAAACCATCCTGAGAATCCGACCTCTCAATATCATAGAACTCATCATCTTCAGAATCATTCTCAGAAGCTCCCTTGGAAGATTTGGCATCATCAAACCCAGGTGAAGATTTCACCTTCTCATCCTCTTTCTCGCCTTTGATAAATCCACCTTCTTCTTGACACGAATACTCATCAACTCTTCAATTGATCGCAGAGACGGTCTAACCTCAGTCCATAGCTGCACTCTGTGAACACTCGGCAAATCAAAACAAAGAGAAAAAAGGGTGTGAATAAAGATTGTTCCATTACTAACGAGTCTAACGTAGAAGAAGAAACGTACCTCGTCGGACTTAAACGGAGAAATGTCTGGCGCGTAAGAAGCAAAAACTGCTGAAGCGGTGGCAGGACCCACACCTTTAAGAATAGTGAGCTCTTTAACAGCGTTTGAGATGTTAGGGAGAGCTTTGAACGCCTTTTCAGAAGCAGATTTCACCACTGAATCTTCCAGAGACGACACGAAGTCGAGCAGACGCGGCCTTGGAGCAAAGGGAACAAAAGTAAACAAAACTGAAGAAATCACGCAAGAGTCTTAGAAGGGTTTAGTGAGAGAGAGAGTACCTCCATTTGCCGCGAGAGAGCTTCCATTTCATGAGCTGAGAAAGCTCAGAGGTGGTGAGGTAAGGGTTAAGGTCTCTCTCGTGACGAAGACGAGGGAGCTCGACGCGGTCATATTGGTCGAGATAGACGAGGTCTGGTTTGTTCGGAGAGCTCATCACATTCATCGGAGAAATCGTTTGGTCTCGTCGGATTTGATAACCGATTTCGCCGGAGTTGCGAGAGATGGCCGAGTTCGCCGGTGATATCATCAGACGATGGAGAAAAATAGATCTAGGTTTGACAAATGAATTGAGGGGTAGAATAATATTTTGCATATTAAATTTTTAAGGGTAAAGATGATTAATGTAAAAGTGAAATAGTGTATCATGAATGTGCTAGTTTTAGCAATTTCCCAAACTTTAATGATGCCACGTGTCATCTTTCGGAAAGGGTTTTTACGCTGAAGTAAACGCTCTCTGGAGCCTCAAAAGGCTCCTTTTGAAGCTCCAGAGAACGCAAAAACTAACATCCGAAAGATGCCACGTAACATCAATAATATTATTAACTAGGTGATTTTCCCGTGCTCATGCACGGATATAAATATTTATAAAATAAATAATTATAATAATTGATTGATATTTATTTAACTTTTATATTAATTTATATTTATGTATAAATTATATTAAGAATATTATATTATTTTAGTTATATATAATTTGAGATATATTATATTTAATCAGTTTTATCATTTGTATATATATATATATTGGATTTTATCTATTTCTCTTAATTCAACTATAAAATTTTTTTATTCTAAATATCTTAAAATTTTCATTAATTATTTGATTTACATTTATGTTGGTTGTTATCTTAGAAATATAAGTATAACTTAGTAAGATTATGTATTTTAAGATTTTTTGTACTTAGAACGAAAAAAATAAAAACTAAAGTGTCTCATTCTAAATTACATACATAAGTAATAATAAATTTTTAGAATCTTATGAACACATATAAATATTTACAATAGTTAAATATTTTATAAATTTTAAATAATTTATGCCTTAGATTGATTGGATGGTAAACTGAAATTTATTTTAAATAATTTTAAAAATAAGGAATTCTGATTTGCTTAAGTATTTTGATTATGGTTATATTAAACTCCACAAACATAAAAACAGAAAATTAAACATCAAAAGAGTTATTAAGAAAACAGATAATTTCAACTATTAAAGTATAATATATCGACCTTGTTAAATTATATAGTGTTATGATATTTTAAAAGAATTGTAGTTATTTAATGAAAAGATGTTTATTATTAAATTTATTTTTAGTTTAATTTTTAATATCTCTTAAAATATGCAGTAAAAATGTGATTGTTTTTGAGAAATTATATTATATAAGTAAAATATAATATATATTTTTTTCTGTAAAAGTAAGATATTATAATCAAATAAATATACTAATTATAATTTTTTTTGTCAATTAAACATATATCAGTTTATGTTACTTAATTATTTTATGTAATCATCTAATAAAATAGATAGATATATACAAAAACTAATTACTTTGAAATATATATTTTATTGTTTAAATTATTTTTTAACGAAAAAATATTTTTTTTTCTAATATCAAGATTATTTCTATGAACTTTTTTTTTATGAAAACACATTATATACAAATATTATTTTCATCTAAGAAGATATAGATATAAAGTATAATTACTTCAAAGGTATAATTTATGTTATTTAAAAATATATTTAAGTTAAATATTACTACTTTGTAAACTTTCCTTTTTTTATGAAAACATATTATATATGTACTTATTTTTTCGTTTTTAAATCGTTTTGTAAATTTTATAAATGTTTCCTTTTTGTTTTATATTGTTATTTGGAAGATTTTAAAAAGGAAATAATAATATTTAAGTATATTTTTAATTCATTAGGGGTATCATAGTAATCAACCAGCGTGAGAGTTAACGTGAGCACGACACCTAAGAAAGTGACTTCTCAAATAATATTATAGAGATTTATTATGTTTAGTTTTACATTTTCGAAATATTGATATAATGTATAGTTTTACATTTGAATATTACTGATAAATATAATTTCGAAAATAATAACTAATATGTATATATACAACATTATAAATGGAAATAATACATTAAACATATGTAAGATTATCATTATATATATAATTTCGAAAAACAAATGTAAGTATAAAACACTAGGAATGGAAATACTATATTAAACATATGTAAGATCACCATTTTACATTTTTGTAAAAAAAATCCAAAAATATTATAATACTATTATCTTATTATGTTTAGTTTTACATTTTCGAAATATTGATATAATGTATAGTTTTACATTTTAATATATAATATAAGAATTATTTATAATAATAATAAGAAATACATGAATACTTTTAAAAGAGACTAATCGAAGTTTCAGAAAGCGTCCACATCATTCTAAAGACTCTCTTCGAAAAGAAGACACATGGCATTATTAGTATTATTGCCTTATTATATAAAACTTTACATTTTTGAAATATGGATATAATGTATAGTTTTACATTTTAATATTACTGATAAATATAATTTCAAAAATCATTAAATAATATGTAAATATACAGCACTATAAATGAAAATATTATATTTAATATATGTAAGATTACCATGATATATATAATTTCCAAAATAATAAATAATATGTAAATATACAACATTAGAAATGGAAATACTACATTAAACATATGTAGTATTACCATATATATAATTATAGTATAGATTACCTTATTATGTATATTTTACATTTTTGAAATATTGATATAATGTATAGTTTTATATTTTAATATTACTGATAAATATAATTTCGAAAATAATTAAATAATATGTAAATATACAACACTATAAATGAAAATTTTATATTAAATATATGTAAGATTACCATGATATATATAATTTCCAAAATAATAAATAATATGTAAATATACAATTAGAAATGGAAATACTACATTAAACATATGTAATATTACCATATATATATATAATTTCGAAAATTATAAATAATATGTAAATATACAACATTATAAATATAAATACTACATTAAAAATATGTAAAATTACAATTTTATATTTTTAAAATGACTACTTTAATTACCTTATTACATTAAATCACATTACCATATTACGTATTATTGCCATATATGCATTAAATCATACAAAAAGATAAGTAACTATAGATTTACATATTTAAATATATAATATAGGAAACATATATACAATATTAAGTAATAAAAAATTTAAAAAAATTATAATATACAAAATAATATTAATAAGTAAACACATAATATTAAAAAAGGGACTAATCAAAGTTTCAGGGAGCGTCCACATCACTCTAGAGACCCTCTTCGGAAAAAGACACGTGGAATTATTAGTATTATTACCTTATTATATACAGCTTTACATTTTTGAAATATTGATATAATGTATAGTTTTACATTTTAATATTACTGATAAATATAATTTCGAAAATCATTAAATAATATGTAAATATACAACACTATAAATAAAAATATTATATTAAATATATGTAAGATTACCATGATATATATAATTTCCAAAATAATAAATAATATTTAAATATAGAACATTAGAAATGGAAATACTATATTAAACATATGTAGTATTACTATATATATATAATTATAGTATAGATTACCTTATTATGTATATTTACTATTTTTGAAATATTGATATAATGTATAGTTTTACATTTTAATATTACTGATAAATATAATTTCAAAAATAATTAAATAATATGTAAATATACAACACTATAAATGAAAATATTATATTAAATATATGTAAGATTACCATGATATATATAATTTTCAAAATAATAAATAATATGTAAATATACAACATTAGAAATGGAAATACTACATTAATTATTTACAATATGTAAACTTTTTTTTCTATTTCTTTTTGTTTACAGATTCTGCCATCTATATTATAAAAACTGAAGTACCTTTTGGTACTGTTTGGAAACATGGATAGTAGGATTAAAAGGAAATATATTTAGAAACAGGAATAGCAGATGCATATTAGTATTTAAATATTTAGAAATTACATTTATAATAAATTAAGTAATTTCTTTTTGTTTACAGATTCTGCCACTGCTAAAATCAATTTAAATTAATTAAATACAACTACTAAACTGATAGTGTTATTGATAATATAGGAATATCAATTAAATTATAATATATATATATATCTGTAACAATTTTTTAAAATAGTATTATCTTATTTAATTTAGTCAAATACAAAAAAATTGAGAGTTCAACGAAAAAAATATCAAAAAAAATAATAATAATTCATAGAAAATATTTCAAAATATTAAAATTTTAACATGTTGTTTCATTTTAAAATAAATTAATAAAAAACAGGTTAATATATGAATAGTACAATTACATCAAGTTATAAAATTCTTAATATAATATTATGTATAAATCAAAATATATCAAACATCTATACTATAAAACAATATATATTACTATATATGTAAATTACAAAACATAAAAGTATATATGAGATTTTTTTATAAAACCAGCAGTTTATGAGTTTACGTTGAACACAAATTAAAACAAACACCCGGGCGGAGGAGCGGATCAAATTCTAGTTAAGTTTTATGTTATCAAATTAACAAAGGGTGTAACTCAAAAATATAACTCAAAGATAACACATACTAATTCAATCTTTAAAACAAAAATACTGCATGATTAAAAACATTTTGAGTTATCAATGATGTAAACCCCTAACTCAAACAAAACCTAGTGCATGTTTACAAATTCTAATTAATTGCAGTGAGTTATCAAATTAATTGCAGTGAATTGTTGTACAAAAAAAATTAGCAAATTTTAAGCTACACATCTTGTCCTTCAAAATTTAAACAATTTTTAAATGAAAACAAATAAATCTACTTAAATCATAGTGCTGTTAAATCTACAAATAGATTTTGATAAGCACAGTCATGCGGAATTAAGTTTATCTGTTTTTTAACTACCCTTGAATTATTTAGACAATAAAACAATTTCTAGCCTACAAGAGTGAGTCTGATTTGAGATCGCTTGGGGAGCTGACTTAGCCAACGAGGCAGTTACACCATTACAAAGGTAAGAAATAAATGTGAAAGAGATACCGTAAAAACTTTATAAACTAATAATGGTAGAATGTTGAATTTTAATTAATTTCTAGTCATTAATTTACAAAAAGAGATCTTTTTAGATTTCTTTCGCTTTAGAATATGTATTTTTATAAAAGAAGAAAATAGTTTCTTTTGTCTATAAGTTATAGAAATTTGACATTTATATGTTTTGCTATATTATTTGGTGTACATGAAATATCTTTCATAGAATTTAAATGTACTTTTAGATATAATTTTACTAAATGTTATCAAATTTATTGAAATACTAAAAAATGTATTTCATTGTGAATGTAAAACAATAAAACAATCATTTGTTTTTTACTTATATAAATCTAATATATGTAAATTATTAATTTATGATTTTAGAGAGACTATCAATTTACAAAATATTTTTTAAACAATATTATTTTATTATTTTATCAATTTATATCATATTTTAAATCCATCAAAAGAGATTTATTAATTTAGCATGTTTGTTTATTTATAGAATTTTTACCGTAGAATCAAATGAAGCATAAAGAACAGAGATGTCAGTATATTGATGAGTGCGATTATTAGGGGTGGGTACAATTACTTGCTACTCGGCTTGTACTCGTTACTTGATTCATACTTGGCTCTTAAAGTCGAGTACTCGTTTTGTTCAACTCAAGTATCAAGTCATTTATTTCAATTAATTGCAAGTACAAGACAAGTACCAAGTACTAAAATAAAAGTAACTATTTGGTGTTGTTGGCTTGTTACTCGTGACTTATTATTTGATTTATTACCCGTTTTTTACTTTTAGACAAAAAAATCTTTAAATTATAATCAAATTACTTGTTTATAAAATAAATGAACTAAAAAGTGATATATTATAGAAATATTTTAGAGTTTTCTTTTAATTTTATAATTATCATATATCGATTTAAAACATATAAAATGTAAATAAATATTCTTTATTAAAAATTGTTTAGATTATAATTATAACTAACTAAATGTTTTAAAAATTCATATACAAGGTTTAAGAAGCAAAAATTAATAAACTATTATTAAATAATTTACAAATAATTATATAATCATTTATAAATTAGTTCAAAAGCAACAAGTAGTAAAACAGAACAAATACTAGCAAGTATACCATTTTTTAATAAGTACTTGAAAATGCAAGTACTCGTTTTTAATAAACCAAGTATAAGTCTAAAATTTTATTACTCGAATAAGCCAAACCAGGTATTACGCCAAAAATGGTAAGTAGCTGGCTTGTGTCCACCCCTAGTGATTATCTCAAAGAACAAAAACTTAAGTTTTCCTCACGTGGAATAAAACTTAAGATTCAATATAATACTAAAAACTTAATATTTACTTATTTTTAATCCGTTTAAATTAACGATAAAAATCAGTGAGACAGTTACGTGATACCTAATTTCGATTATACATGACTCTTAGAAACTCGAAAGGTTATTTATTTTTTACTGATATATTATTGCAAAGTTAATGGTATATTAGTTTATTTCACCTATAAATATGGAGATCATGAGAGTCGAACTGAATCACTGCTAAAGTAAATAGACAAAGAAACCAGCTTGGAACATCCAAAGATGAAGCTCCACTGTGGCCTTACCACTGAAAACTTGGCAGCCAAGTTTGGTCTCCATGAAAAAGGTCTTGACTTCGAAATTGTCTTCGTAGATTGGGTTGCTGGTGAATCCAAAACAAAAGCCTTTCTTACTAATCTCAACGTACACCTCTCCAAATCATTGACGATTTATATCTTTCATATTTCTCTAATCTTTCATTCATGACTTACATAAATTTTGTTTGTATATGACTATCTTTTTTCAGCCATTTGGTCAAGTCCCGGTTCTTGAAGATGGGCATCTTAAACTTTTTGGTATTGCAAGTTCATTTATGTTTATATTGATCGGTGATAAATGATCACTACGATTTATTCTAAATATCCACTAAAACCAAATTGTAATGAAACTCAATAATCCAAATTAGCCACTATTTTTGTATATATAGTGAGAAAAAAGATGAAACCTTAATCACATATATTAAGATGAATCAATGAATAGTAAGTGAATAGCTGAATGACTCATCATGATTGACCATTATGGGTAAGAAAAATTATTCATTGTTCTTTTATGGAGATGAATTTAGAAAATTTAACGTGCTTTAATTTTTTCTGTAGAATCAAAGGCGATCACGCGATACCTAGCCGAACAATACAGAGACGTTGGAACTGACTTACTACCAAATGATCCCAAAGAGAGAGCAATCATGTCGATGTGGATGGAAATAAATACAAATCAGTTTCATCCTTTCGCGTCAACTCTCATCAGAGAGCTCATCATAAAACCATATCAAGGCTTAGCCACTGACTTTACATCGGTTCAAGAAAGCAAAATGAAGTTATCAGAAGTCCTAAACATCTACGAGGCTCGTTTAGGTGAGTCTAGTTACTTAGCCGGAGAAACCTTCACATTAGCAGATCTTCATCATCTTCCACCCATTCACTACATGTTGAGAATGGAAGAAGAAGGCGTTAAAAACTTGATATATTCACGTCCCAATATAACCGCATGGGTTGAGAAGATGAAGTTGAGACCCGCTTGGCTAAAAACAGTCGTCAAAGGCGATCACATCTTTGAGTTGATGAAGCAACGTCGTCTGCCTATACAGTTTGATGCGTCATGTCACGAGTTAACCTCTGTGGCTGAGACAACTACGATGGTGACTATGAACAATTAAGTAACCATTAAGTCATCATGCATGGTCCATTGTATGATCCATTATGTTTGTTTTCTTTTTATCATCATGTATGCATGGTCCATTGTATTATCCACTATGTGTGTTTTCTTTTTATTCAAAAATATCATCTCGCCGTTGTGTATTTGTATTAAAAATAATAATTCACTTTGTGATATAAAGTTTTACTATTATTATTATTTTCTCCAACTCAAACTTGATGTAGTCCAGGTAGCCAGACCGAAATATAACAACCAATAAAACATAGCTCCTTATGGAAAGGTCTATCAGCCTTAGTTAAAAAATCAAAAATCTGGTCTTGTACTCGTGGAAAGCATATTTGTAGAGTCTGTATCCTTTCTAATTCTATTGCAAAGCTTGGCCAGACATGAGATTCTTTGATCATCGTGATCAACTCCTTACAATGTGACCCAAGACTCTGGCATGTCAAATATTAGAGCATATTCTCCATCGCCAATCGAAGTGCTTCTACTTATGAATGTAAGGCTGATTCCCATCTAATGTAATTTCGTGTCCCCATCAGTTGAACATTCCCAGTACTATCCATCCAAACTCATTTACTTCCGCTGAACCTTGCTGTTGATGTCCATGATCTATCTATCATACAAATATTCTCCCAGCGTATGGCTTGGGGTTCCTCAATACTATGGTCTTGTATCCTAAGTGGCACCATCTCATTCTCATTAAAATAAGCTTGGCATTCAGTCTCTACACAGCGAATTAACTCCAATGGATCTCTATCAATCTCCTTAAAAAGTTTGTCATTCCTGCCTTTCATATGTTCCAGAAATGATAATCCATATTCGTATAAATACTCGGATCTGGGAAGATATATGGACTTGTTGGAGTCATTGAAAGAGACCACACATATAGAGTTGGAAGCAAATAAATAAGGCATGATTTACAGATTTTTCTGGTTCTCCACATCTATGGCACTAGCTTCAAGGTTCCCCACTTACTGTTTGGTTTCTCTTTTTTGTTCCTGGGAAAAACTGGAAATTATGACCAAACTCATGCCACCTTCTCTTTATATATAATCTCTGTTGTCAGATTCCCCCACTGAGTTATGTGCTTCTTAAAACATCTTTTTGTCCACATAAACTCATTTTCACTTTTGTAAGAGCAGTCCCATCAAAGATTCAGATAGGGGTGCACACGTTTTTCAAAAAAAAAAATTAAAATAAGGAATATTAAAAACAAAATATTAATATTTTTTAAAAATATTAAGAAAATATTAAACTCATTTTTATTACTAAATTATTCTTTTTTATTGATATTTTTAATATTTTTGAAGAAAAATGGTAATTTTACATATGTTTAATGTATTTTTTGCATTTTTTATGTTGTATGTTTATATATTATTTATTATTTTTGAAATTATATATAATTTTTTAAAAATTTTCTTATAAAATGGTAATATTATATTATGAGATAAGCCGTATTTGTTTTTAGTGAAAAATCGTAACCTTACATATGTTTAATGTAGTTTTTCCATTTTTATGTTGTATGTTTATATATTATTATTTTTAAATGTAAAATGGTAATCTTAAATACGTTTAATGTAGTATTTTCATTTTTATGTTGTATGTTTACATATTATTTATTATTTTCAAAATTATATATAATGGTTTTTACTTTTTTAAAAAATATTAATGTTACATTATAGAGATAAGCCGTATTTTGTTTTAGTGAAAATGGTAATCTTACAAATGCTTAATGTAGTATTTTCATTTTTAATGTAGTATTTCTATTTTTTTAATGTAGTATTACTATTTTTATATTGTATTTATTTATTTATTTATTTATTAGTATAGATATACTTTTTACTGTAGTATTTCTATTTTTATATTGTATTGTATTTATTTATTTATTTATTTTAACATTTTAATATAAATGTTTAATGTAGTATTTCCATTTTAAATGTTGTATGTTTACATATTATTTTTTTAGTGAAAAAGGTAATTTTACATATGTTTAATGTCATTTTTCCATTTTTTATGTTGTATGTTTACATATTATTTATTGTTTTCGAAATTATATAATATTTTTAACTTTTTTTCTAAAATGGTAATGTTACATTATGGAAATAAGCTGTATTTTCTTTTAGTGAAAAACAGTAATTTTACATATATTTGATGTAGTATTTCTATTTTTTTATGTTGTATGTTTACATATTATTGAAATTAATAATAATATTAAAATGTAAAACTTTAAATTATGCCACATGGCATCTTTTCGAAGAGGGTTCCAATGCTGATGTGGACACTCCCATGAGCTTCAGTTAGTCTCTTTTATTAGTATAGATTTTATTTTTTAATTAATTGACAAATGTTTAGTTCTATAGATAATTGTGTTTTTATCTTGAAAATATGTAAAATTAAATATTTTTTAATTTGTGTTATAAAAACCTAAAACGCGAAGAAAATATAATTTATGAAATCACGTAGCATATTAGTTAAGATTTAAATGCTTCTATACTTACTCTTAGATTCGAATCCAGACAACACAATTTTTTTACAGATTATAGAATACAAGCTTATCGAGATTCCAGATTACTGCATACGGAACCGTTCGTTGTAACCGTTTGCTGCGAATGAATATTTCTAATCATCATATGTAACATAGTTAAAGATTATATGATTATGATTATTTTATTTTTTTGCTAACCGAGTATCCTGACTCTACCGAAGTGGTCCAGACTAGAGACTGAAACGAGCAAGGACACTGCCAAGGCGTCACCATGTGGCTCACCTATAACGGTCTTCGGTCTCGGATGATGCAGCCCATATGTAAATTCCGCAGTGACTAAAATTCGAATTCAGGGGCGGACACTCCAGCTGAAGCTCCTTTACCACTAGACCAAAGCAATTTGGTCAAGATTATATGATTATGTAATTGTTAGTGTTAAAAATAAAATACTAATATACATTTAAAGTGATTTTTTAGTTAAAGTTGCAAAATCAATGTTATTTCAAATAGAAAATTTCAAAATTATTTTAAATTTAATATAAATTTTGTGATTTTATAATATTATTTTTGTAAAAATAATCTGACTTTGTTTTTAACGGTATATAGAGGAAAAAAGGGTAAAACCATGTTCGTATAGAAGTTGCTAGGATCGTAAAACCAATAGAACTTTTTGTTATGCTGTGATTTTGTGATTGAGTGATAAAGACTCATTTTAAAATGCTAACATGTTTTGGTTTCGGTTTACTTCATGCAAAAAATTAAGTTATATTGTTCTTGGACAACAATATAGATATCCCCTTTATATTAAAGGAGAAGCATTACAACATTTTTTTGTAGCCACATGTCATCACCACAATCATTCTTAGAATCCATAGAAAATATGTTGGTCCATCTAAATATATAATAAACTTTTTATTAAACTAATCATAAATGACTTATTAATGTTTTTCATTGTTTCCTTAAATAAAAATAACAGAATTACCAAATATGGTTAAAAAAATATATGACAATTAATGATTTTCAATAATAAAGATTTGATAAAAATTAGTGTATTTTTAAGTTTTAACATATTAAAGTAAATTAAACAACTATATTACTATATAATAAAAATTAGATTTTTGGTATATGATATACTTTGAAATTTTTAAAACAATTATAAATGATTAAAGTTGTTACAAAATCTCACATTGAAATTTTGTGATCCATGATTAATTTTTTTTATATAACAAAATAGAAATGATTACAAAATTATATAAGTAAGAAGTCTCATTAATATATATATCCCCTATATATTAATTGGAAAGCATAACAATATGTTTTTGTAGCCACGTGTCATCATGAGAATGATTCTCAAATATACAAGAAAAAATGTTGGTCTATATAAACATATAATATACTTTTTATTAAACTAAACATAAAACTATTATTAATGCTATTCATTATTTCCTTAAATAAAATTTAGGAAATTACCTAATATGGTTATAATATATATATATATATATATGACAATAAATGATTCGAATATGAAGATTTGATAAAAACATTTATAGCTTCTACTATTTTTGTTAAACTTATATTGTGAAAATAAATTAAACAATAACATCAACTATATAACATAAAAATAGATTTTTTTTGATAAATGTTAAATTTTGAAATTTTTAAAACAACTATAAATTAATAAAACATTTAAAAATTTACATATAATATTTCTGATTAGTAGTTTAAATCCCCTATATTTTAATACTTGAGCATTACAACATTTTTTGGTAGACACGTGTCACAATGAGAATGATTTTCATCTCTTAGAGAAATATGTTGGTCCAACTAAACATATGTTATATTTTTATTATACTAACTAATAACTATCATATTTAATTAGTAGTGTACAAAAGAATATTTTCTATTTTTCCTTAGATAAAAGCTACGGAATTACCTAATATGATTAAAATATTATCACAATTAATGTTTATGAATAATAAAGATTTGATAACAATTTTTATCATCTTTACTTTTTATTAATTTTATATTATTAAAAGAAATTAAACAATCACATTAATCATATAATTGAAAAATTAGATTTTTTTCTTATATGTTATATTTTGAATTTTCTAAAATGATCATAAATTACTAAAAATGGCAAAAATCTCACTTTGAAAATTTTCTGATCAATGATAATGTTTTTTAGTTCAGCCAATCGTTTTTCTAATGGGTCTTAAACAGTTTATAATGATTAACTAGATGAATTGCGCATAATAGAGTGTGTTTTGTTTGAAAATTATTGCATACCCTAAATAAATATGAACCATCATCTCTTTTGTTTAAATTTTTGTACAATAAAAAATATATGGTTGGGTAAAAAACTGAATCCAGATAACCGAATCAAATCTAATCCAAAAAGTAGGAAAAAAAATTTAACCAAAATTGGTTAGATATCCAAACTGATTCGAAATTTTGGTATCTAGAGAACCAAAACTGAATCGAAATATCTCGGGTATCCGAGTGTACTCGAACCAGATTTATATACTTAAATATATTAATTATTTTTAAATTTAACATCTAAGAATATACAAAATACATGAGGTTTTTTAAAAAAATTCCACAATACATAGAAATATATAAAATAGTTACATGTACATTTTTAAAATAGCTAAACGAGACTCCAAATACCAAAACTATTTGAAATATTTATTGATTTTTTGTCCAAATATTTAAGATAAATTAGTTTTATGTTAATTTTAAGTATTTTTACTTTTAGATTCTGAAAATTTTAAAGTATATATAAATTTTAATCTTTAAAAAAAAAGTTAAATGGGTTATCCGAACATAAACTCAATCCGAATCTGCAAAGATTCGAACCAAACTGCAAAGATCTAAATCAAACAAAAGTTAACCGAACCAAATGGTAGCCAAATGCTCATCCCTAATCAAAGGTAAAAAAGTTATTGATAATAAAAAATATGTATTTATACGAAATATTTTTAAAAATCTCATCCCGCGCATGGCGCGGATTATCATCTAGTAAATTCTTATTTTTGACTCTTTTGAATATCTAAAAAGAATCTATCCATATGATACTGGGAAAAGGGCCTATTCCTACCCGAACAATTTCAATCGTGCCAAATACAACCCGAACAAATTTTCAGTGCCAAATACGACCTGAACTACGTTATAATGCAAAAATACTACCTGAACTTTTTAAAACGTGCCTAAACCTACATTGACCGTAACAGAAGTTAGTCAACCGTTAAAATGATAAACCGACGTCGGGAAAAGGGCATATTCCTACCCAAACAATTTCAATCGTTCCAAATACAACCCGAACAAACATCCAGTGCCAAATACGACCTGAACTACGTTATAATGCAAAAATACTACCTGAACTTTTTGAAACGTGCCTAAACCTACATTGATCGTAATAGAAGTTAGTCAACCGTTAAAATGATAAAACGACGTCGTTTTTATTCTATTATTAAAAATGAACATTCCAGGACTCGAACCTGAGTTTTGTCACTAAAACATACACATCAACCATTAGACTAAAGC